TCACCTGAAAGATAGGTACCGGAAAGATCCAAAGTAACCAAATTGGCTAATTGCCCTAAAGTAGAAGGAACTTCACCGGAAAGATAGGCACCGGAAAGATCCAAAGTAACCAAATTGGCTAATTGCCCTAAAGCAGAAGGAACTTCACCTGAAAGAGAGTTGTCGGACAGATTTAAAGTAACCAAATTGGCCAATTGCCCTAAAGCAGAAGGAACTTCACCTAAAAGAGAGTTGTAGGAAAGATCCAAAGTAACCAAATTATGTAGCTTCCCGATTTTTGGTGGTATGGATCCATTAAGTTGGTTGGCCCCAAGAGACAGTGATCTAAGTTTGGTCAGACGACCCAAACCAGGAGGGATGCATCCATAAACCCCTTGCTTACTAATATCAAGCCTAAGAAGATTGGGGAGAGCAGAAAAGTTCAACTTTGCAAAACTTTTTCTGTCAAATAAATAAATTGTAGGGCTGATGCTGATCTCGATGACACTTAAATTATCGTTGCATGTTACCCCAGGCCAGCTACAATGGTGTGCAACGCTAATGACAGAGCCATCCCACCACCCACTCTCCAACAATGCATCAACCTCTGATTGTTGGGAAGCTGCTACTGCTAACATCATTGTGGCTCCTGTAAGAATTGTAACCCATACGACTGCTGCCAGAGTGGAAACTGTTAGAGTAAAGGATGAGGAGATCATGTTTAAGCTCATTTTGTGTCATGTAAACTCTCCTATTTGCCTTCTAAATTTAAAAACAAGCTATGCCACGGGAGTGATTAGGTCTTCCACCTTTTAGTTTGACTCAGTATTCCACTTCATCCTCTGTTAGATCAAAGTCAAGTCAATGGAAAATGATGAAAATCTTTTCTTTTGAATGAATATTCTACTAAAGAGAACTGACAAAGAAGGTCCCCTATTTGGCTATTCCCCTGTACCATGGCATTTGGGCTAAATACATTTTTTAAATAATAATAATAATAATAATAGTAATAGAATGAAAATTTATTTAAGCATAAGTTTTACTGTATACATAAATTTTATATACCATATTTATATAAAATTTTAAATTTTTTATTTTTTATTTTTAATAATTAAAATTAATTATTTATTATATTTATTAATAATAGTAAATCTCAATTATTGAAAATAA